TGTATGTAAAACTGACATCTTAAAGACGTCTATCAGATGTTTATAGTTGTACACAGCAGATGCTTCTTGCTGACTTAGGTGTGCTATCTGGGGCTAGTTGCCATTTCTTATGTATTTTTAACAGCCCAAGCAAACTTTTCCGGGAAGGTTTGCTTTGGCAAGCTGTTTCAAACTCTCTAAACGAACTGTGTTTTGGCCTGATGTTGTTCAAAAATGATGTCACACCAGTTCGTTCTTCGATTTTGCTTGAGGTATATCAGGGCCTTTACAACTATTAAAAGTTTTTTTTTCTGTTTGCAGCCATTGTAGATGAGAGCACCAAAGGCATCCAAGAGCTGGTGTCCAGGCAACGCGATTCCAAAACCAAAGCCAACATTCGGAGGGCAACACCAGGAAACTTCCATGTCTCTTACCCACGGAACCAGCCTGTTATTCTCCCTCGACGTGGCCAATCAAAACCCGCCCTGCCCGCTCAACTGCGCAGCCAACTAAAACAATTACTATCTCATGGCCCGGTCAGATTATCAGAGCTGGAGTCCAGTTATTTGGCACAGTTCGGAAAGCCGCTCAACATCACGCAATATGGCTTCTACTCCATTTCTGAAATGCTGGCGGCTGCCATGGATTTCATAATCATGCAGCAGAGTCGCACAGGCTCACAACTGCTTCTGAAAAACACCGTAATGCCACAAAATCAAATCAAAAATCTGATGACGAGTCTTTCTAAGCCATGTATGTATATGATAATGGAATTTCTGGAGATGGAGAGGTTGATATGCTCTTTTTTTTTTACTTTGGTCTGAATCTATTATTTATGTACTGTATTTCCATGATGATTACTCTGCAGTGGCATCTGTTTTGGGGGCAAAACAGAAGCCTGTCAGTCCTAAAACGACTTCGCCGCCTGAGAGGAACCAGCAAGATTCGCACTCGCTCCCTGCTGTTCCTAAACCAGAGCCTGTGAAGGCAGAGCACTCTTTTGAAGAAACTATTTTTAAGGTTTGGGTATTTGTATGAAATTAGGGCGATATTTGTTGTTGCGCTACATGTAAATCAATACTGTCCAGGTAAATCTTCTACAGCTTGAGGAGGAGCTCAGACAGCAGATTCTCGAGAAGGGCACCGCTGGCACCGTCAGCCGCGAGTTGAAAGATAAGCTACGGAAGGTCAGATATAACAGCTTTAAAACTCTTAAAAGTCTTTCTTGTCTCATCTTCTCACCTTTGCTTATTTTTGAGATATGGATCTTTTTCAGGTTGTAGCTGAAAACGACAGTGGGATCTCCATTCACAATCTTCCCACAGAATACAAGGTATTTTCACAAAACCAATCAAGACCATATCTGAGTTCATATCTGAAGAAAATAAAAAAATGTATTCTGGCTACAGAAAATTAAGCATATTTTGAAAGTTTTTGCATCTCTTTTTATTTTTATGGAAGCCTGTTGTCGCCATGGATTAAAAAAAGTTAATTGTTAGTTTTTATCTCACAACTCTGACTTTTTTCTTGCAATTCTGAGTTTCTAGCTTACATAAATTCTGAGTTTCTATCTTACTGAGTTTATATCTAATTCTGACATTTTCCTCACAATTTATCAAAATTCGGACTTCTCGCAATCTGAGTTTATAACTCATAGTTCTGACTTTTTTTATT